GTCAAGTGATTGGTTGATTGCATCAGTTGGTGAGTAAAGTGATTGGTTGATTGGGTCAGTTGGTGAGTCATGTGATTGGTTGATTGGGTCAGTTGGTGAGTCAAGTGATTGGTTGACTGGGACAATTGTTGAGAGGATGGAAGGGAAAGTGAGTGAATTGGTGAGTGGGTTATTGTTACTGGTTGAGTGTGTGACTGGGTGGCAAGAGGATTACTGCTGAGGAAGTGAACTGCTGAATGAATCATTGATGGGTGGGCGAGAGGGTGACTGATGAATAGGGGTTTGAGATGAGCAGTCAATGAGAGAGAGGGTAAGTTGGTAAAGTGAGAGACCAGGAGAGGAGGTGAGTTGTCCGTGGGTTAGTTAGTGCTTAGGTGACTGTGTGAGTGAGTGAAGTTAGGATGAGGGTGAAGTTAGGGCTGGGTTGCCATGGGCATCAGCTAACATCTAGCCTCTGAACTTAACATATTTTACAGGAAAGGTTCCTAAATCATGTTCATAAATATGATAAAAAGGAGAACTTTCTTTTTATCAGAAACTCTGGTAATCTAGACTTGCCACATATTCTAGACATACATTGGATGCATTGTGTATTTGTGTTTCTGGGTCTCTATGACAGATTAGAAGAGGTTATACTTGGTGGATGGAGGGGTATTTGGTGATGAGTGAGTTCATCTCTTTGATATTGAAACTCAAACTATACCCATGTTGAGAACATACAACATCTGCAGCAAGATAGACGAACACTTCCGCCACTTGCCTACCCAAAGTCATCCTTACCATCTGATAGTTACATACCAACAGGCCATTGCAGTACGTTCCCAAACCTGTACCTGCTCTCAAAACTCATCTTAAAGGTCACATGCAACGTAAAACACAACTTTGCAGATTCTGATACCTTTCGTTATGGACTTACCGAAACAAAGCGTCAAAAATGCAAATTCAACTTATAAAGTTGAAAAATAACGCGATGAAAAAAACCCCGCGAAATCGGAGTTCAAACGTTTCACTAAATTTCCCCAGACTTTTCTGGGGAATACGGGTTTCAACAGCTGGCTGCGCTCATAGCACGTACGCAGTGAAATAGGTTCGCGCAACTTGGAAGCGGGCTGTCTGGTGAATACTCGGTGAAGGCTTTGGTGTGAGCTAGTTTCATAATGTTTTGTTGATATCTCACAGTAGCGAGCTTTTGTATGTTATGGCAGTAAATAAACTGTTTATATAATTTCATTTGTCTATTTCACCACACGTTCTTCTTACCGAGTCACTTTCTCAGTTCGATACTTAAAAGCAATGTCATTATTTAGAGTTGACACAATTTCTAACTGTGATATAGATATGTCGTTGTCACAGACAAAACTCAATGTCTTGTTTTATTGACACCAGTGTGTCTGCCTGCCTGTCTGCTAATGACAATATTCAATACACAACTGCGATCACTGACCACATGCAATTCGAACTTAACACCAATCAGGCTATACACCATAAACAAAACGCATTGATTTATGGCCCGAGTTCGGTCTCTGTCACATTATGTAATTACACAGACAGGCAGGTGTGATACTTTACACATGACATGTTATGATGTCTGTTGATTGCAAAATGTTATACACAAAAAATGAGCATGTATTTACAAAACCAAACTTTCTATATATACACACACAATTGAGCCGTGAAGGCGGCATCTGCTAATGAACCAGCCGTTACACTTGAGTGCACACCCACCCGCTCTGACTGGGTTCGGTATCCCGGCTGCTTCGTTTCGAGGGAGGTAAACCCAAGTACAAAATGCACTTTTGATTTGCGATTATACGCTTATAAATTTTTTTATTTGTTTTTCCATAATCAGCAGTGCATATTATATGTCATGAAGAAGTGATAATTGTGTTTTAATTATGTTTGATTTTTTGGTTGCATGTGACCTTTAACAATCCTGTTATTTCTTGAATTTTTTCATAACTTGAAAAACACACAAACACAACCACAATTTATCGCAGTTCTACATAGACTACATACAGGTGTCTAATGACACACCTCCATCAAAAGTGAACTGAACAGAATACATTAACATGTGAATGTACTGTAACACTGTACCTGATCCGGAATGCATTGCACAGCGCCCGCCCCCTGGTGCACACACCTGGATAATGGAGCACGCTTTATGTGCTCAGCACACACTACATAATAAACTCACTCCACAGTACATGCAGGTATGTGCATTGAACAGATGACACATTCCCACTGACGTAAAAACACAGGTGATAATACAGGTATACTGCAAGGTAGACACTTTGTGAATATCATCTTTATATTCTGTAAGTGTTTAGACATGGAAATGTAAATATGCTCATACAATTGCACTGTGATCATTCAACCACATGTTTACTTACATAAACATACGGGAGTTTATAATGTAAACATTTCCATATTTTGATGACATACAAGAGGACGAAACGATCATTTATCGTCCAGGAACAAATCTAGTAGATAAATAAGTTTTTGAACAAAAAGTTTCATCTTTCAAAATAATTAGGCCACAAATTAAACAAGAATTAGATTTTCATCCAAAATTTGTAACATGAGGTGGAGGCATTTAATTTTTTATATGTTTATTTTTCAAAGTGTACGTGAACTGTCAATGGATGTTATTCATATGAAGCCTGATGGAATGTCTGGTTGGACTATGTATTCATCAAGTTATGGGTGAAAGAAAACAGCATGTACCATGGTTCTTGACAGCAGGCACTTGGGGACAATATTATCATGCAGGGCAGGGTGTTTGGTGATAAGCTGAGTGGGAATGAAAACAGCATTTTTGTCATGGTTAAGTGAGTGAGAAGATTTAATGGCACAGTCAGCATTTTCTAGTTATATCAGGGCTTGTAAATAATCCAAAAGTCCAGGCCATTCACAAGTATGTTCACAACATACACAGTGATCTAGGTAACTGAGGTGGAACAATACACAGGTCACCTAGGTTACTTGTCTAACCACCCAATCCTCAATATGGTTGACAACATACACAGTGATCTAGGTAACTGAGGTGGAACAATACACAGGTCACCTCACCTCACTTGTCTAACCACCCAATCCTCAATCTGATAAAAGTAACTGGGCCGGAACAATACACAGGTCACCTAGGTTACTTGTCTAACCACCCAATCCTCAATCTGGTTGGTAACATACACAGTGATCTAGGTAACTGAGGTGGAACAATACACAGGTCACCTAGGTTACTTGTCTGACCACCCAATCCTCAATCTGGTTGGTAACATACACAGTGATCTAGGTAACTGAGGTGGAACAATACACAGGTCACCTAGGTTACTTGTCTAACCACCCAATCCTCAATCTGGTTGGTAACATACACAGTGATCTAGGTAACTGGGGTGGAACAATACACAGGTTACCTCACCTCACTTGTCTAACCACCCAATCCTCAATCTGATAAAAGTAACTGGGCCGGAACAATACACAGGTCACCTAGGTTACTTGTCTAACCACCCAATCCTCAATCTGGTTGACAACATACACCGTGATCCAGGTAACTCGGGTGGAACAATACACAGGTCACCCAGGCTGCTTGTCTGACCACCCAATCCTCAATCTGATTCAGGTAACTTGGGTTGAACAATACACAGGTCACACAGGTTACTTGTCTAACCATCATGGCAGGGGACACTGAAATGGACTTTAAACATTTCGAACCTTGGTCCTCAGCATGAGCGGATACTTGCATCAAAGGGACACTACTCACTGTAGTGACTACTATGCTTCAAACTCCCTCTCATCAGCCAGGAGATTAATGATAACTGACACTAACAATCATTGTCAGCTCATGAATAAAAAAACATAATGAAAATAATAACAGGGCAATTTATGAAAGTAGATTATTTGAAATTTGAACTGACAAAAATAAAAATAAGATTAAATGTAATTACAATGACACCAAATTAGAACGACCTGTGATTTGACAAATGGTAATGTTGACATAATGTGATTGAAGGATGAAAGTCTGCAATGTCATTTTCTCAACACGAAAAACCATGACGAAATTATCCAACATTTGTTTCCATTTGATAACTATAACAATTATAATTATCATATAATTGGCGTGTTAAGATTGTGATATTTGTTGACACACATGTCCACCCTAATCATTCACCAGACATGATAATAATAATATTTTCCGAACACATTTCGAATTCATTTTCGCCCTCATCATACAGCTCCATGACCACAGCCATTTGATAAAAATACCACATATTATTTTTACACTGACAGTGTTGACTAACAGTAAACATGAAACAGTTATCACACCAAGGTAGGTCTATGGCAGCCATGCAAGTGTTGAGTTAACCGGTGCAACTGAGAGCTGCATATCTACAAGGTTAAAGGTAAACTGTAACTGGTTAAGCTTTTGTGTGTCTCTTTCACCAAATATATGTGTGTATATATAGACTGGTATGTACATGCACTCAAAACCCTCTTGGTCCTTTCAAAAAGGTGCTTTTTGTATGTTCTCAGTAGATGTCTTGACTGTTCACAATACCTCCATTGATGACATTAAAGCAGAAAAATAGCATTCTAAACATTATATTCTTAACAAAGGGATTCCTATTCCTCATGATTTGTTATACATTGTCACTGGGTTAGATGGCAATATGAGGTAAAGCTATCAGTCAGATGGTATAACAGTGCCCTTGTCTGGCTCTATGTTTTTTGCAGGTCAGATGAGCTTGAAAGGAAAATGGCAGAGGTTGTGGATGTTTACCTTCTTGGTGATACAATACTAAAGGGCATTGTACTGACAAACCCAGTATCATAATCAGGGTTAATCCTGGGTTGTTACCCATTATCCTGGTACAGGAAAGGGGAGCAACTGTGGACACTGAATTTTGACACCAATGGCACTTAACCCCCATTGCTTCAACAATGCCTTAGACTAACAGTTATGACCACACAATGACTGAGAAACAGAAAAATATGAAAGAGCATACCTTATAATATCAACGAAAATATCCAAGGGTTTTTCTCCATCACTGCAGAGTATCAAACTGTGTAAACAACGGTAGTTTCCCGTCAAATGAATATTGAGCCATGCAGCTGTCACGCACTAATGTTTTGTCTGTGTCAGTGTTGGCTAAATCTTATACTTTCTATGTCAGCGTGGGACAGAAAATTGATGACATATTCCAGACCAACTCCAGGTTTTATTGATGTGAGGTGTGGTTGTAGTAGAAGTGACAGATATAGACAGTAATCTTCACGGCTGTCAATCTGCTATCTCACTGACGTGTATCATTCACTTAAAACACAATAAAATGTCAATAACAAAATACCACCAACAGTTTCAATGGGTGAGGGGCTTAACAAGGGGTGGACACGGGATGTATGCTTTTGTCCCTAATTGGAAATACAGGTGTGAGGAATCTGAGGAAATGTGAATGAATGAGTGAGTGAGTAAGTTGCCATAAAATGCTGACTTGGGAAGAAAGACCTAAGCCCTACTCTGGTCCAAATCTCCACCCTGTCTACACCCTGGACCCTACTTCACCCAAATCTAAGCCTAGAGTCTACACCCTGGACCCTACTTCACCCCAATCTAAGCCTAGAGTCTACACCCTGGACCCTACTTCACCCCAATCTAAGCCTAGAGTCTACACCCTGGACCCTACTTCACCCCAATCTAAGCCTAGAGTCTACACCCTGAACCCTACTTCACCCCAATATAAGCGTAGAATCTACACCCTGGACCCTACTACACCCCTACCTAGGTCCAGAGTCTACACCCCAAATCTCTACACACTGAACCCACTACACCCCTACCCAGGCCTCAAATCTCTACACCCTGGACCCCACTACAACCCTACCCAGGCCTCAAGTTTCTACACCCTGAACCCCACTACACTCCTACCCAGGCCTCAAGTCTCTATACCCTGGACCCCACTACACTCCTACCCAGGCCTCAAGTCTCTACACCCTGAACCCCACTACAACCCTACCCAGGCCCCAACTCTCTACACACTGAACCCACTACACCCCTACCCAGGCCTCAAGTCTCTACACCCTGGACCCCACTACAACCCTACCCAGGCCCCAAGTTTCTACACCCTGGACCCCACTACAACCCTATCCAGGCCTCAAGTCTCTACACCCTGGACCCCACTACAACCCTACCCAGGCCCCAAGTTTCAACAAGTTTCTACACCCCTGGACCCAAGTACAACCCTATCCAGGCCTGGACCCAAGTACAACCCTATCCAGGCCTCAAGTCTCTACACACTGAACCCACTACACCCCTACCCAGGCCTCAAGTCTCTACACCCTGGACCCCACTACACCCCTATCTAGGCCTCAAGGCTCTACACCCTGGACCCCACTACACCCCTACCCAGGCCTCAAGTCTCTACACCCTGGACCCAGGCCTCACTACACACCCCACTACAACCCAGGCCTCAAGGCTCTACACCCTGGACCCCACTACACCCCTACCCAGGCCTCAAGTCTCTACACCCTGGATCCCACTTCATCCCAACCCAGGCCACAAGTCTCCACACCTGAACCCCACCACACCCATACCTAGGCCCAAAATCTCTACACCCCTATACCCACTACACCCCGACCTGGGCTTCAGATCTCTACACCTTGAATCATACTACTGTCCTCCCCTCCTTCACATCCCATCCCTACCCCATTAAGAAACACCAGCACCCCCAACGTACCAGCTACTGTACATACTCCCACTCCTGTCCTCCCACTGTTCAAACTGATCTGCCCAATAGGTTCACCATATAGACCCTCAACTCTTTCATATTTACCTTTCTGTTGTCAGATGTCACATCAATATTACACCAGTGATACAAATTTCTTCAATGTTACATATATGTAAAGCCAGAAACCAGAGTTTAATTTCCATTCAGCAGAGTTTGATCTGTGAAGGTGATAAAGTAAGTTGCTGCATGCCTGAAGGGTTGTGTAAAGACGGAGCGAAGGTGGCCCATTACGCTGTATCAAAGGTTGCAGTTACACATAGAAATGTCAAGATTTACTTGTGCTTAGGCTGGAATGTACCATAGAAATGTTATCTGTCACTGAGTAATTTCTCAGTTAGGACCATATAAAAATGATTGAGTAAGGCTGGACAAACTTATTTTCTTGGTAATCGACAATGCTATTTCAGTTTGTTCATAAACAATTAAAAAGACATTTTGTAAAACATCTTTTTGTTTATATTCTTGTATATTCATGACACAGTTTCTACATATTTTAGGGCAGTGGGGGTAGCCTAGTGGTTAAAGCGTTGGCTTGTCACGCCGAACACCCGGGTTCGAATCCCCACATGGGTACAATGTGTAAAGCCCATTTCTGGTGTTCCCCGCCGTGATGTTGCTGGAATATTGCTAAAAGCGGCGTAAAACCAAACTCAGTCAGTCTACATATTTTAAGGCAGACCAACTTCACCATATTGACAAATGTCATCGGTTCCCAATTGCGCAGATCAATTGTTCATGCTGTTGATCACTGGATTGTCTGGTCCAGACTCGATTATTTACAGACCGCTGCCATACAGCTGGAATATTGTTGAGTGTGGCGTAAAACTAAACTCACTCACTCACTTCACCATATTTTAAGGGATATTTTCAAGATAACAAAACAAGAGTTTTGTTCCTTCATGGATTTGTTTTGTCTTTGATAATGGCTAAATGTTACCGGACAATCTGTAAACATGTAGTTGGTGTGGTGCTTTCAACCTCTAGGATGTTAACCAATTAGTCTGTACAACAAGAAATAAACCGACCCTGCCCAAGCAGCCATCAAATCAGGGAATGTCATTCATGAGAAAATATCCAAAGTTTTGAGCGAAGTGTAACTTGATGGTTATCATTGACCTGGAGGAAGCCACCTCATCAAGATGATATCATGAAAAAATTATATAACATTATATGCTGTCAAATTCAGGACGCTAAAGCTGTTTGACATTTAGCATTTTAACATGACGGAGAAATACATGGTTAACATCTTGTCATGTGATTTTAGAGCATATCTGAAGTGCTCAACATCATCATATTTTGATGATGAAATATTAAAATTGGTAAAAAAATGATCAATGATGTAAAACATAAACCATATAATTTCTAAAAAGACAACTTCAAAGTTATCAGAATCATGTGGAAAAGGGATAAAGTTTGATCTTATCCCTTGAAAAATGTTAATGTTATAAATATGTGTGCAAGGAATAGTTGACACACATCGTTACATCATGTACTGTGGTGCTGAATATGATGCAGATGACAAAATAGCTTAAAAAGAATCGTTAATGGCTGAAAAAATGCTTCCCCTCCTGGGAAAGAACAAGTGTGTAGAGCACTTACCCTGGGGAACCTCTGCAATGTGAACACAAACTCAGCTGTAAACGGGGGGGGTGACCAAACATCGAGGTTCATTCATCATTGCCGGGTCTCCACATAAACTTAGTTATCTCACACAGCGCTACCTCCCCTGTGGTTTCCACATCGTTACCATAAACCCTTGAGTAAGTGCTGGAAGTGTACTCATTTCAAATGGTCCGTAAAAAACAGAGGCTCTTTTCAGGTTTGTGTTTCTTTTAAAGAGGTGTTTGCATCACTTTCTTTTCAATTTAGTTCAATTGTCTGACTTTCACAGGTTTAGAGGGAAAAGAGCAAAGTAAATAATTTGCAATAAAAATTATAGTTCTTTTCCGTTTTTCCCCTTTCATCTTTATAACTTTATAACAGAACTAATGCCAAGTCCATAACATGATATCCTTGACATGTTCACAGCATTTCTATAAAAACAGATAACTTGAATATTTCATAAACTCTCTTGAGAGAATTAACAAATACTGACTGACTGACTGAGTTTAGTTTTACGCCGCTTTTAGCAATATTCCAGCAATATCACGGCGGGGGACACCAGAAATGGGCTTAACACATTGTGCCCATGTGGGGAATCGAACCCGGGTCTTCGGCGTGACGAGCCAACGCTTTAACCACTAGACTACCCCATCGCCCCAAATTAACAAATAAGAAAATGGATTTTCTAAGAAACAAACTTTATTTGAAAGTCAAACTTCAACTGCCAGTTTAACAAAAGAATTAGGATCTGAAAGGTTTTCTAAAGGCACTTCCGTACCCCTATCCTCCAAACCCCACCCACAGACATAAGGGATCATTATGTTGCCCTGCTTCATCCATTTCACCAAACTCATTTTCAAATAAGTTTTATGTTTCTTTAACATTGTTGACCTGTTAGTTGAAGGGAGTATTTCTTCAAGGATTTACGGTACATCTAGGTCTGTAGGTGAATGTTTTAGGTAATGGTTACACCATCACAATCTTGACTTGATGACCTTGAGTTTTATCTCATGACATAAACCTTTTATCACACACCCTTGGCCACGTGCTGGCTTTAATCCCACAGTAATCTTTGGTTAGGTTTTTCATCAATGGCAATGTGGTTTTCAGGGCACACACAAATGATGCACATTGTAGAGGATACAGAAACATATTCTGATGTAACCTTCCTTGTGCTGGCTGTATTGGGGTCCAGTCGCACTCTCTGGATTGATGCATATTTTCACTTTTGAAATCTTGCTATATGTCTGTCTTGTCACACACTCAGCCCCTCAGTCACACAAATACCTCAACCATTCAGTCACACAAATACCTCAACCACTCACTCAACCAGACACACACTCACTCACTCATTCAAGCACTCACTCAACCAGCCATCCACTCATTTAAGCACTCGCTCAACCAACCAGCCATCCACCCACTCACTCATTCAAGCACTTGCTCAACCAGCCATCCTCTCATTTCAGCACTCGCTCAACCAGCCATCCACCCACTCACTCATTCAAGCACTTGCTCAACCAGCCATCCATCCACCCACTCACTCACTCACTCAACCAGCCAACCATTCATTCAAGCACTTGCTCAACCAGCCACCCAAACACAAACCCACCCACTCATTCCAGCACACTGTCAACCAACCACCCATCCCTCCACCCACTCACTCATTCAAGCACTCACAAACTTTACCACTCTTCACCGCTCCCCCCTCAAAACCCCTGATTTACTTAAGATAAGGGCCTGCTGAGCCTCTTCAAACTGTACCATTTCAGAAACTCATCCATTACTGTATTTGAATGCACCAGCTGTAGAAACAGAACATGAAGCTTTCAACCAAGCAGAAGCTACAAAGGTAAGTATTCCATATATTCATGCCTTTTGTATTTGTCCCTTAGCATGATGC